AGCGTGCAGCCTGCGCCCAATGGCCCTGGTCAGGCAGCACTGTGGGAACTGTAGGTCACCCAGGGAGCCTCACAGGGGCTGGGCCCAGACCCCCCGTGCCCAGTGCCACCTGGGGAAGCCCGGGGCAGCGGGCCGTGGTGGCCGGGTGCAGTGGCCAGTGTGGGTTTGTTGTACAAACATCAGCTTCTGGTCTCCGAGGCGGTCACCAGGCAGTAACAGGAGACCGTGGCCTCCCGCTTGACCTTTCACCCCCTCTTCACTAAATAGGCCTAATTATTGCATTTGTCTGTCATTTGAGCCACAAATGACCCATTCATGTCGGCGTCGGGGAGGCCTCGTCTCCGCCTGTCTGGGGGCGCTAATTGCATCCTTCAGGCCAAGCCGGCAGGAGCTGCCTGGCTCTGCACTTCCGGGAAGGGGACTGCTCCATGCCTCCAGGGGCAGGAACAGCGCCTAGCAGCCAGCGGGCCTTGTGGGGCCTGGCTGGGACCTTCTGGATGCCGAGGGCAGACGTTGTGTCTGCTGGGCCTGCCTGGCTCCCAGGCCACACGGTGAGGGTCACTGCCAAGGCGCCTGTCCTGGCTGCAGCTGTGAGCAAAGCACTGTGACTGCCCACACAGTGTGGAAGGCACTGGGCATCCGGACAAAGGCCACAAGAAGGGAGCAGCCGGGTCCCCGGTGACCAGGGCAGAGGACCGCTGTGCCATGTGAGGGCCAATCAGCGAGCTGGGCAGCAACCTGAGAGGCACAGCTGCTTCCTTCTGCACTCAGCCACTCTGACCAATGCACTAAGTAACAACCCCACTTGCTCCTGAGGCCATGTTTTCTACCAGGAGACTGGGATTTGTCTGCCTCCCTTGCAGCTAGGGTTGGCCAATGAAATGAAAGTGAGCATTGCTGGGCAGGAGTTCTGAGAAACCATCTTGGAAAAGAAATGGGCAAGTCATAGTGCAGTTCCTTTTCCCCTTCTGCTGCCTGGAATGGAAATGGGATGACAGGAGCTCCAGCAACCATCTTGAGCTAGGAGGTGCCAAGGTGCTTTTGTGGCACAAAAGCTCGAAGGAGTCTGAGGCCCCAGTGACTGTGAGCCACGATATTGACCTTGGACTCTTTCTGAATTTGTCTGACAAAAGAGAAAAGTAAACTTTTATGTGTCAAGACCACCATTATTTCAGGTTTGGCACTAATGCTACCTCCTATAAGCACATAGGAACCTGCCAGCATTAAGTGAGGTCATGCCAGATGTGGAAAGAATGCATTACCTGGCAGGTGCACAAATGGGGAGAGCTCAGCCAAGCACTCCTTGGGGGGTTGTTAGTTTACAGACTTTATCTTTCTTCTTCAACTATGTCTTCTTCCTCAGCGACAGAATTCCTACCCTTTTCAAGTTTGAACTGTAGTCTAATGCAGTGGAGGGTTGTATTAATTGCTGTGATTAGCAGGAAATGTGTATTTATCATTCTATTTTACTTGAAAGTTTATTAAAAATATACTGTTTACTTACATACACACACACACACACACACACACACACACACACACACACACATATATATATATATATATATATCAGAAATAAGGAACGAACAGTAAAAGGAAACTGGGGGTGAAGTTAGACCTAAGATTTTCTGACTGGGAGTCATGTACCATTTCTAAATGTTCATAAATTCACCTCTGAGCTTCCTGGTGGCCAAAGCAAAGAGGGCATAAGGTAGTTAGTTTACAAAATGCAGTGTTTTTGCCTCCTGGGTTTAACCGTGGCTCACAAAGCCTGACCGAGACCCTCCTGGGCTGGGTGGGGCCGCATGACCGCTGTCCCTGGCTGTGGCTCAGGTCTGTGTGGGCTGACTGCACCCCTCCCAGCCAAGGCAAGGCTGGGAGGAGCTCGGTGGGTAAACTGAGTCCCAGTGCAGCGTCACAGCTGGGAGGAACGGGAGGAGGCCACTGAGGGCTAAACACTTTGGCTGTGGATTCCGATCCCCCCATTTGCTTTTGGCCTGTGTTGGCCGAGTGGCTTCTCATCCTCAGCCTTGGTTCCCTCTTCCATGGCCAGAGGTAAAGACGAGGCCCACGGAGCACCCAGGCCTCTCCCGCTCCACACACACACGGCCCAGGCATCTCTGCCTTCCGAGAGGTCATCCTCCAGGCATTCCCAGATGTTCCTCGGGGGAGGTGGGGACGGCCCTGCCTCCGAGGGACAGCTGGGGACGCCCTGGCTGCACAGGTGCCCACAGGGCCCCCACTGCACCCTCAGAGGTGCAGGCAGGCCTGGTGCTCAAGAGGCCTCCTCACCTAGTTCCTCCCTAGAAGCTGAGCCCTTCCAAGGACATCAACCTAAGAGAGCAAAGATTTCACAGAGCCAACACTGATACCAGCCAAGGGCCGACGCTTCGCCGTGGAAATGCTTTTCTTTATTCTCTGCGGCTTGGCAGCAGAACTCTGTGACAGTCCACAAGAAAATACCCAGGGCTCTCTTGGACTCTGGGCTCCTGAGTACTGTTGTGCAGGTTGCTCACTGCCCAAGGTGCTGGCTACAGAGGCAAGTGGGGACAGGGAGCCAGCCCACACCCTCTCCCGGGCCCCCGAGCTCTATTTGTGGGAGAAGTACTCTTTCTGATGTGCACACAGACACCATACCAGCTATCAAGCTTGGTCTCCGTAGAGCTCCTTCCTCCATCGGAGGAGACGTCGGATGCAAAGCTCAGTGTTGAAAGCAGCGGGGATCGGTGCTCCCTGGGAAGCAGGCTTCTTACCTCGCCTTATCTCGACTTAGGGCTGCCATCACCTCACCCTGCCTGTGCTGTTTTAATCCTCTGCCCTCCACGACTGACATCTCCTTTGCAGCAGCTCCCACGTGCACAGCTGGACTTGGCTGCCTGGGGCGGCCAGTGTGTGTGTCTCTGCCCGCCGAGCACCAGGGCATCTGGGCCAAGGAGCCATCCGCAGCGGATGCTGATGTTTGGGTCAGCCCGGGCTTCCATACTCGGCACTGTGTGCAGACAGAGATGGGGGACTGGCCCAGCGTCACAGCTGTCAGGCCTGCAGGGGGCCTGCAGGGGGCCTGAGGGACAGAAAGGAGCCGGATGCCACAGCCGGTCCTATTCCGCTTGTTAGAAAGTGCAGACGTGGCGGTTCCAGCTCAGGCCAACCTGCCATGGGTCACCCGTGTGTGCCCAACACCCAGCCTAGATGCCCGTGACCAAGACATCTCTGGTGCTCCTGTGTGTGACAGCCTGGTCACCTTCCACACAGCCCACCAGGTCAGCACCATCCTCACCCACACCTCCCAGGTGAGGAAACTGAGGCACAGAGTGGCGGGGTCACAGGGCTTGATGTGGGGTCTGAGCTGGCTGCCCTGGGCTCTGAGCTCAGCATCAGCCCTGTGACGTCAGTGTGGACAGAGAGCCGTGGAGGGGCCCTGGCCACATTTGTGATGGTTCTCACACCATTGCCAGTGGACAGGCCGGGGTCGTGGGGGTGTGGTCGCTTAGGGCAGATGAGCAGCATTGGGGGACAGGGCAGCCTGGGAGTGCCATCCCAGCTCCTTGGGGTCCCTCCTCCACCCTCTGTCCCGGTGTCATCTGCACCACTTCCTGCCGCCTGCTCGGATACAAACACGGCAGCCTCGGTCCCAGCGCGCCAGCTGGTCTTACAGTGGCCCTGCCCAGTCCAGGGTACAGAGCAACACAGACACCCAGCCCAGCACTGCCCTGGCTCCCACAGGCTTCACATCCAAGCTGCTCCGGTGTGGCAGCTCCCGTGGCCTGCATGGCTGGGCCAGGTCTCCAGGTGGAGGAGCCATGGCTGCTTGTGGCACTCACATGCGCCCTGCTGGGTCTACTCTGCCTCAGCTGCCTGTGTCCTGGGAGCCCGGCCACAGCAGGACAGGAGCACTCAGAGTGGGCTTGAGAGCAGGAGGGAAAATGGCAAGGGAGGCTGAGCCTTCTCAGTGTGTCGCCCCCACCGAGACACCATGTACGGGGTGGCACAGACAGAGGGGCCAGGCATGTCCCTGCAGAGGGTAGGGAGCTGGGCAAGGCCAGGGCGTGTGCGGGGTCTTGGGGACAGGCCACCCCCACCCATCTGGAAGTGTGGGGCATCTGTGGGGACCCACTGCTAGGGAGCAGCAGCAGGCCCTTCCAGTCTGCTCTTCCCCAACCCCGCTGGCAGCCAGGGATCTGAGCTCAGGTGGGCAGGGATGGCTCTGATGAGCTGGGGACGAACCGCAGGAAGTGCTCAGGGAGGGGCAAGCCAAAGTCACCTGGTGGGGGCCTGCAGGCCGAGGGAGGACTCCATGCCACTGTGAATGCTGGTGTTAGGAGCCATAGCTGGACAGGAAACACAGATCGGCGAATTCACCGCCGTGGTAAGCAGGGGCAGGATGGACAAGCTCTTTCCTGTGGAAGAGCCAGGTGTCAGCGGAAGCGACAGAAGATAAGTCACAGCGTGGAGGCCAGCGGGGAGTGACAGGTGGATGCTGAGGAGAGGGGGAGGATGGGGTGCAGGGATAGATCCCTACATGGTCTCTAGGCAGCTACAGCGGGACGTTCACTAACTACAGAGGTCAGGAAAGTGACCTCACAGGGGAGGGACGGGGGGCGCCTCTGGACCTGGGTGGGACAAGGACATGGCGTGGCTCCCATGAGAACACACAGGGTCACATGTGGGTGTCCTGCCCAAAACATACACTGGGCCTGGTCACAAGGAAACATCCACAGACCCTGGCTGAGAGCCAACCGAAGTAACCAGGGACCTTGAGTCTCCAGAAATGCCACAGGCACGGTGACAGTCACCAACACCAACTTGACTGGGCAAAGCGCTGTCCAGCACCAGAGTGGAGCTCACTTCCTGAGCAAGGGAGCCTCTAGGGATGACTGGCATGTGAGCCAGCCAACCCAGGGGAAGTCCCGCCCCAACAGTGGGCAGCTCCATTCAATAGGCTTGCAGCCTGGGCGGAAAGAGAAGAGAAGGAGGAAGTCAGCCTGCCTTCAAAATTCCCTTGGCTTCGGGGGCTGAGGATTTGCCCTTGCTGTTGCTGGCAGACATCAGACTCCAGCTTCTTCAGCTTCTCAACTTGGACTCACACCAGCAGCTCTCCAGGGACCTCCCAGCCCACCAGGCTCAGACGGGCGCCCTGTCCTGATCTCTTGTCCTGTGGCTTCCGCCTTCCTGAGCGAAGCAGCCACTGGATCCCCTGGCTCTCCAGTGTGCAGATATCCTCAGTGGCTCTCGGGTGCCATCCTGGGAGCTACCTCCCCAGTCCCCTGCGTAATTAGGCGGCATGTATATGCTGCCTGTGGGTTCTGTTCTCCAGCACAGCCGTGAAAGTGAAGAGACCTGAAGGAGCTGAGAGGACAGATGCCTCGTGTGGGCTGGGACCTGCACTGTCCCTTGGCTCGCTGGGCACCCAGGGACCCACGGGGACGTGGCACATGCTGTCTACAGTCATTGCAGGCTCTCACAGCCACGGCGCTCGGCTTGGTACCCGGCGTTTAAGCAAAGCTCCTCAGAATGTTTAGGGATGAAGGACACCCTGCCGGCCAGCCGCGATCTGGTGAACAACCTGAGATGCTAGCAGTTGGGGAGTCTGGTGAGAGACAGGTAGGGACTCTTCATGTGCTTTCTGTAACCGCTGAAGGTCTGAACCTCATGCAGCACACACACACATACGTGCAGGCACACACACAACTGCGCGCACACCCGGCAGCAGCTTCCCACCACTCCCGCTGGGCTCTCCCTCTGTCTCAGCCCCCGACTGCTCTGTCCTGACATCCTCACCCTCCTGCCCCACTCAGCTCGGTCCTCCTGTGTCCTCCACCCAACCAGACAGTGTGGGGCTGAGGGAGCCACATGTTCCACAGGGCGTGAGGCAGCACCCAGCGTGTGCGCCCTCCACCTGCGACTCAGGGCGGCCCTGCCCTCACTGTAGCCAGGCAAACCCCCTGGAGCTGACAGATGTGTGGCAGGGCTCTGAGGTGTGGCTGGGCCTCGGTGCACAGGTGAGCGGCACACTGAGCTCCCTGCCCCGGGTCAGCGGGTAGCTGAGGCCGCTGTCGGGTGGGAGAGGGGCCCCTCATGCTCGGTGGGACATGAGGAGCCTGAGGTTTGCCCTCTGTCTTGCAGCCTTGTAGTTCTCGAAGAGCAAAAAGCAGAAGGTTCTGCCCAAAACCAAAACGCAAGAGGGTGGGGGGCAGAGGGCTCAGAATCCTCAGAAGCAAATCTGCTCCACCAGCGTACCCTGACTGTCTTCTCGACATTTAATCTAATTCCTCTCTCCAAACAGCCACTCTGGGTCACTGGCAGCAGAAGTCAACCACGTTAGTCTGGTGACTCACAGCCCAGGAATTGCCAGCGGGAGGCCACGGGGCGCGTGGAGGAGAGCATTACTGTAATTCTCGTAATCGCCATCGGCAAAGCAGACACAAAAACCCCAAGCTCCACGTTTACCTTGTTCCCCCCGGTTAGCGAGTTGGGGCCCAGAGCCAACGGCCACCTGTGTGCTGAGGGGACCACTCTCCAGTCAGCTGGGGACACGTCCAAAGGCATGGGTGCCCTCAGGTCATTGGATCTGGGGGTGACAGGGCTCCTTGGCCCCGGGAACGGAGTCCTGGAGCTCCCTCATCCGCGTGGGCATGGACCGGAGTTTCCCCAGTAACCATGCCCCTGGTGCCCTCCATGGCCATTAGATGTCAGTGGAACCATTAGAGCTCGTCCCTGGATCGCCAGCAGAAAAGACGCCATGACACAGCCAAGGGGAGCAGGTTGCACGGCGCTTGGCTGCCTTCCTAGCATCTGTTTTCTTTTTGGTGAGCTGGGAGATGGGAACGAACCCTCGCGGCATCTTTGCTGCATGACGTGTTGCAGAGATGAGGAGACGGGGTTTTCACAGCAAGCAGCTGCCCACAGATGTCTGACCGCCCCCACTAGGAGGAGACACGCAGCGAATATCTCCTGCAGAGGCGCATAGTGCCCAGGTGCCCAGCACTTGGCAAATGCCTTCTCCTCCTTCTTGCTCAGCCCTACAGGTGCAAGGAGCAGACCCAGCTGGGGCCCTGCAGCCAGCAGAGGGGATGGCACCTGACTGCACCTCTCTCGGAAGTTCCGGGAGCCCAGGTCCCGTGGCAGCGAGAGTCCACTTGCCGCCTCCCCTCCCAACACCCACTAAGGTAAGGGCTGCTGGTGAGTGAGACCCCCACTGTGAGCACTGTACAGATCGCTGAGCCTCGGGAACTCTGCCCTCCAGGTGGGCCAGTGGGCCAGGGCGACACAGCTGACAAACCTGTGTGGAGCTTGCATCCCCATGAAAACAGATGCTGCAAAGCATCCCCTGAGCACTGAGTCAGTCACAATGCTTCCTGGACACGGGAGACCTAGAAGCTCCAGGTGCAGGGCCATTGTGGGCATGGTGAGGCAGCAGCAGGGACAAAGCCCCAGCCCCTTCCTCTGTGCTGCACCCCGCCTGGGAAGAGCCCCCTAGAGGAAGCCTGGTGCGCACCTGAGGTTTACGGCAAAGGTCCCATCTGTATCCTCAACTGCCTAGTCTCTGGGTGCAACCCGGCTTGGTGTTTTAGAGTCCAAGAGTTGTCCATAGGAAATGAGGGTCTCGTGACAATTGTTATGTCACTGTTACGGGCGGGAGTCAGGCCTGGCACCCACACCCCAGTGCATGTGGCCGACCTCACAGGCCCGCCCAGGACCAGGGGCTGATGGGCCGAGCATGGTTCGGGGCCACCTGCGTTGCTCCAGGTGACCCGGACGCTCTCTGGCTTCCAACCAGTGTGGCCCTAGTGGGCTCTGTGAAGGTGTGGGGCACACTTCCGGCTGGGAGAGGGGAGGCCGTGTCTCGGGGCTATGGCAGTGACTATTTAAAGACCGTCCCCCTCCTCAGGCCTGGGAAGCAAGTGTTCATTGTGCTCCGTGGCCTTGGGCAAACCCCTTGATCTCTCATTTTGATTTCCGTTAAAAATCAGAGGTGGTTTGGAGACCTTGCTAAGGAAACAAATGGAAAGCCTTTGCCAAAGAAAGCCCAGCCCTCTCTCGGGGCTTTCTTCAGAGGCTATTTTTGGGAGCCTTGCCTGCTTGTGACCGAGTGGAATGAGGGGCTTCCTGCAGGGGTCTGGGGAGGTCTGTCCAGGCCAGGGTCACCGAGAGCCAGGCTCACGGCCCCCTCCGGCAGTCACGGTGCCCCAGGGCTTTCCACATGGACCCTATTTTTGTGTCATTTTCCCGGAAATAGAATGGCAAAGTTCTGTCCCCAGGGCTCCCTGGTGGCTTAACCTCCTTCAGCCCTCTGCGGGAAGGGCCTCCCATGGCTCCGTTTCCTTCGCGGTTTCCTCGAATCCGCACAGGGGAATGCCGGCAGGGCAGGAAGACCCGACAGCCAAGGCCTGGCCGCCGCTTGGGCCCCAGGGCTGTCCCACTCCATCCCTGCCGTTGCCACCAACAGAGCAGAATGCTGAGACTGTGCCTGGGGGTCCCCAGCCTTTCTGGATGGCATGGTGCATCCTGCCACACTGTCACCTGAGAAGACACGGACACCCAGGGAAATCTCAATTTCAAGTAAACGAAAAGTCATGTTTCAGCCTCGCACAAGATAGTCCTATAAATAACAGTTTCCTTACAACTGAAGTTCACCTGGGCGTGTGTCCTCTCACTGAATCTGTCCCTCTCTGCACCAGCGGCCAGAACACAGTAGGGGATTTTCCTCGCTGTGGTTCTCATTCAACACACCTGTTGTGACCCTACTACGCACTGGGCCTGGAGGTGCAGGGTAGGATGGGATGGGTTTCCTGCAGCGGAAGTAATGCCTCATCTCTCGGCCTCTGTGGTCGAGGTCTGATGCAGAACCCACAGGGCTGAACTTTGAGTGTCACAGAGCTGCCGTGCTGGAGGCCCTGGGGGAATCTGTTTTCTCCTGCTTCTGGGTTTTGAGGTGCAGCCTTCCCTGCCTTTGTCTTCAAAGCCAGCAGTGGCCAGCAGAGCCTTTCTGTGGGGCCGAGCTGGCATCTCTGGTTCTCTCTGCATTCCCCTCATCTACTTCCGAGGACCCTCGTGGTGACATAGGCCCTCAGATAAGCCAGACTTGCCCCCTATTCTAAGATCGGCTGATGAGCAAGTTGGGCACACCTGAAACCCTGAGCCCCTCTGCAGGTACCAAGCATCGTTCTGGCCCAGGGGGCGGGATGTGGAGTCTTCATGGGGATCACTCTGCCAGTACAGAAAATTCAGGGTGCCTCATTCCTCCCCCTCTTTGTGCCCAGCTCCTCCTCCCAGCTGAGGGCTTCCAGGTCTGGGGAGCAGAAGGCCAGGAGTGATGCTGATGGTACCAGCAGAGATGGCAGCGCTCTACCTGGGTTCCCATAATTCACAGTGTACTTTTGCATCTTTGCGATGGTTTAGGTCTACAATGTCTCCCAAAATCTCATGTGCTCAGAGGTGGTGCTTTTGAGGCGTAATTGGATCATGGAGTGCCGTGATCATCAATAGATTCGTACATGGATGTGTTCATGGCTGAGGTGCTTTTGGGGGGGCCCTGGTTCGTAGTGGTCACTGGGGTGTGAACTGGAAGGGTGTGTTTTTGTTCCTGGCTCCTCCCTTTTCTCTTTGCTTCTGACTTCCCTCAGGTAAGCAGCTTCCTCCACTACCTGCCTTCACCATGCAGTTTCTGGTTTGGAGCCAGCTGACCACGGACTGAACCCTCTGAAACCATGATCCAAAACCAACCTTGCCCCCTTAAGTTGTGGGTATCTGGTACTCTGCCCCAGGGATGGGAAAGCTGCCTGATAGTCACTTTCTCTATATTACTCACCGCCAGCAGCCCTGTGACTTATACGTTGGGCTGCACAGCCAGGGAGTGGAGATGGGTGTTGTTTGTATCCTCTGAGATCACTGTGCAGGCTACCTCGAGCTTCCTGGGTCAGGGGCATTCACATCTCTGGCAGAGCAGCCCCCTCAGCCAAGTGTGCAGACCTGACTCAGTGCAGGACCAGCTCCTGGTGCCAGCGCTTGAGGCTGCCAGTGCCTGTCCCTGTCCCTGTCCCCACCCCACCTGGCCACCTCTGTCTGACAGGGTCCTGCAGGGTGAGCAGAGTCCATTTGGGTGTGTCCCCCAGAGAGCACAGGCCCCAGACCCAGAGCCACCTGGAGATGTGGCACTGCTCTGGCAGGGCCTGCATGCAGGGGACAAGTGCATCCAGCATGGATGTGCAGCCTCCATCCCAGGAGCCACTTAGGTCCAGGAAGGGAAGATCCTTGCACCCCTACTGTGTGCTAGGCTCTGGGTGAAGCGCTGGTCCAGAGACACATGAGGCCTGGGACCTGCGCTGTATCAGGACTGAAAACAGCAAGGGTCACCGTTACGACTCTGATACAGACACGGTGACAGGGCGGGCTGAGACTGCAGGTGCAGCCACTGTCCTCACACTTTTCCATGACCATCTCACCCCCTGCAGGTCTGCGGGTCCTTTTCGTATCCCTGTCTCGAAGTCAGGAAGATGAGCTCTTCAGATCTGGTGCGGTGTTGGCGGGTCACATGCCCCCAAGCCACAGAGCCCAAACCCAACCCAGGACCCAGAACTGATCAGGACCTGCAAGGCCAGCACCTTGCAGCAGGAGGTGCTGGAGTCCCCTGGAGTCAATGGAAGTCTGGCCAGGGGCCCAGGGTTCCTGAGACAGGCACAAAACCCCTGTGGAAGGGGACTCATGCCACCTGAGGGCAGTCACTGGGCTGCTGAGACGGGCGCTTCCCATCAGCTCATGACCAGAGTGACACTGGCACCTCTGTGCTCAGCTGGGTCTCGGAATTACAGAGCAGGCCGGAGCCAGACAGGCGGGGTGAATCTCGCTCGGCTGGGCCCGAGGTCCCCCGTGGGTCCTGTTCTGCGGGATTCAGTACTAGGTTCACTGGCTCTGGACCTGGGGGTGGCAGGAACACCAGCCTGGCCACTTTTCCCTGTGTAGTGCCAGGTTCTACTTGGCAGAAGGAAGAATGTGCCCAGGATCTGGGGACAGATGTGGAACAGCCACCATCGCCCCTGGAGGTCCTCAAGGGTCCTAGTTCGAGGTGGGCAGGGGACCGACAACTTGGCTGTGCCCCTGCCCGCCAGCCTCTCTGACCGCCAGTGGCCCCAGACCATCCGCTGTGGAAGCAGCTGTCCCCCAGACCTGACACAGCCACCGCCTGCCCCCAGGTGCCAGCCCCTGCCCTACCCTCTGGTCACCACCTGGAGGGCATGGCCCGAGGTCTCATCCCTGCAGATACTGCCATCCCATGCTGCCTGGCCAGCTGCCCAGCTAACATTACCTGGCGGGGGCGGGAGTGGAAGGGCTGGGCTCTGGGGCTCCAGGGCTGATTGTCACCGAAGTCCACTGCTCTGCCTCTGGGCTGCCGCGCCTCTGTGGTTTTGCTGTATGTCAGCGTGCGGTTTCCCAGGGTGCTTTGTGTCTTGCTATCGAGGTCATTTACGGGCACAGCGCTAACCGCGTCCCCAGAGCAGATGCAGAAGCCACAGAAAAGGGCTTTGCTGGGCGGATGTGGTGGGCCTGCTGGGCCCCTGGATTTGGGGGAGCCAGGAGCGGGGTGGGCACCCCATCCCCATGTGACCTGCCAGCCCAGGGGGGGCTCAACATAGTGTCCCCTTGTAGATGAAGGCACATGCATCCGGGGCCAGCTCCGGGGAGCCGGGGGAGGTGGGCGGCAGCATAGGACAGCAGAGCGCCCCACCCCGTACGGTTTAATAGGCCCTTATCTCAGGGACATTGCCCAGAGCCGGGCGGGCCTCGTAAACCAAGGGCCTGTTTTATGTGCTTTCCCACCAGATGCTGGGGGACCCTGAGAAAGACTCTCTAAGGAGATTAGATGGGCTGGGAAGAGGGCTCAGCCTGGGCTTCTCCCTGGGGGCTCAGCCTGGGCTCCCACCCCATTTCCTCCCTGGCCTCAGCACCCCACTCCTGTTGGGGAGCTCGCCGTGGGGCTGCACGCTGCTCTCTGGTGAGGCCACTGCAGCAGGCCAGAACACTGTGCAGGAAGAGATGCCAAATAATGTTGCACATTGTCTACTTGTACATAACTTTATGTTAGGGTATACAAGTTATCAGGCAGTACATCCATACGGTATCTGTGCCATAAATGCATTATAAAGTAACCAGGATGAGCCAGGATGCCTGTGGATAACTGATTCTAAACATTCACAGCCGTGCTCCTGTCTTAGTCTTCCGTCTCGAGGCAGGCTAATCTCTCAAGAGGGGCGCTGCTGTCGGAGGCAGGGGTCCAGCACGCAGTGTAGGCACCCGGGTACCTCGGTGCTGTCCGGCCGGGGTGGAGAGGACCAGCTCGCTGTCATCAGGGGACAGGGAAGCCACTCCCTGGGCACAGTGTGGATCCCTGAGAGGGCAGAGGTGAAAAACACCATCTCTCCTGGGCCCTGGGACCAGCCCTGTGTTGTTGGGGACCACGCTTCCAGCAGACGGCCCTGGGGACCCCAGGGTGCCCATGTGCACATGCGCACACAGACGCCCCCACCCCGGAGCCCTGTCTGTCCTGCTGGAGGGCAGAGGACCCTCCGCTCAGGGCTCTGCACCTCCTGAACAGCACAGGCTCAGCTCCCAGTGGCCCACGGGGTCCTGCACCTCACTTAGGGGAGACCTGTGGGAACAGCGCGAGGGACCCAGCCGTCCCCAGCCCCTAGCCTGACCCGGGGCCCTCCCCACTCTCCTGCACCCTCCGCCCAGTCCCCCTCCTCCTCCCAAGCCTGCCCCCTCTGCCTCCCCTCCCAGCCCGGATGCTCTGGAGACATTTGCTGGTATAGACCCCGATTCCCAGGGCAGCACCTGGATTCTCTGCCAGTCACAGGAGATGACAAGCCAATGCTGGAATCGAGGATCCAACCATCTGTCCTCCATCCACCCATCTAGTCCTCGTCCAGCCCCCAGCTCCCTACCATCCCCCATCATCCCCCACCCACCCCCACGGGTGTCCATCAGGCTGACCAGGGGCCCAGCCGGTGTGTGAGTCCCGGCCTCCCAGCCTGCTGCTCCGTAGCCTGAAACAAGTCACTCCTCCTTTCCTCCACAAGCCTAAGGCGGGTACCATGATGCCACTCATAAGCCTGTGGCACAGCATAAGGTCCAAGATGCCAAGCTCCAGGCGAGCACCCAGCCAGAAGGGGCCCCAGGCCTTGCTGGTTGTTGTCACTTGGACTAAGATGCCACTCACCTAGAGGGCTGCAGGATCGCTAGGGCTTCTGGATGTCCCGGATCATGGCAGGGCTCAGTCTTTCCTGATGCTGGCTCTGGGCAGCACAGCTTCCAGCTCTCCCTCCCTCCCTCTGCCCTCTGTGCCCACAGCTTCCTCTCATCCTGCCACCTCCAGCAGCCAGAGCCCTGATTCAGGAAAGGCAGCTGGGCAGCGTAGGACCTGACCCCAGGCCCTCTAGGCACTTAGGCCCCAAGGGAGGACAGCATTCCTGCCTATACGCAGGTGCCCTTTCCAGCATGCCCATGGGCAGGGCGAGGGGGGCAGCTCCCAGCAAGGAGGGCACCAGTTGCTTGTCCTCTTGAGTCCGCTCAGGTGGGTTCGGGTGGGGTTCCTGCTCGCATCCCCTGGACCATCCCAAGGTGAGGATCACTCTCTGCTCTCACAGACAGAAGGAAAACTCAGAGTTGATGATCCTGGGCGTGGCCCTGGGGGTGAGGAGGACCCAGCCAGGAGGCCACTGTTTTCCCTTCCGTGTTTTCTCAGCTTCCTTGAGCTTCAGTCTCAAGCGTGTATTGGATCCAGGGAACCGGACAAACCTGATCCTGCTGCCTGAGCTGCTGGGGCAGCTGAGTGCACTGGGTCCTCACCACCAGGGGGCACCAGCGAGCCCTCTCTGCACACGGAGCCCGGGGTGGATGAGCCCCGTGCCACTTGGGTGCCATCCCGGGCCCTGAAAAGCTTTGCACACGGTCTGTGACTGCGGATCTCTTCACCCCAGCCCAGAGAGCTGGTGTGCGGTGGGCCGCACCCGATGTGCTTCGGCAGGCAGCCTCGCTGGGCCCGAAGCCCCGGCCTCCCCAACCCCTCTCTCTTCAGGGGAGCTCGGAGCTCAGCCTCACCCACTCGGCCCACTCGGCCCACACGGGAGTGGCCGGCGCCTGCCAGTCCCTGTCCCTGCCCTCAACCCGCCGCACTGCCAAGTCCCCGGGGCCGGGCCGGGTGCAGCTGTCCCCTGGTGACAGGCGAGGCAGCCGGGAAGCCAGGCCAGCAGCTAGTGGCCGTCCCTGACATCACCATGGGGCCGGACCAGTGCTGAGACCTCTCCCCCTTTCCAGGGCTGCTTCTGTGCCTACTCGAGGCTGCCAGGTGCCCTCCCTGCCCCGTCTCCCCGCCCCGTCTCCCTGACTCTCTCCACTTCCCCACTTGCTGCAGTCTGTCCAGCGCTTCTCGTCCCACTGTGCCCCTGTCCCCAGCGAGATGTGGGCATCTGCCCATGGCAGGGGCCTCTGTCCCTCGTCCCTGGCCTGAGCCATGCTCTCTGGGCTGGCCACTGCCTGCTGCCCCTAGGATGCTCGCAGGGGAGCTGAGCACTGGTTCTGGTGAGCTCTGAGGAGTCCTGTTCAATACCTCAGCCCTAAGGGGCCTCATTTAATAGAAGACAGCACCCCAGGGTGTAAATCTGTTGGCCCCAAGTCGCAGGACAGGGCCCCAGCCTGGACAGTGTGTTGAACCGTCAAACTGAGCACAGGAATGGGGTTATTTTTACCTCCAAGAGGAGGCTGCTTGCTCAGTGAACAACTGGGCAGACTAAGCTGGGGGGTGGGCTGGGGCCTGTGTCAGGTCTCAGATGGAGCCGAGTCTGGGGCAGATGGTGGGTAGAGAGTGGGTGAACTAGGGACAGGTGGGAGACAGACGTGGATGGGGCAGAAGAGGTCGGAGTGGCTGAAGCCGAGGAGGGTGGCTTTGGGGAATCGGCAGCTTGAATCCCCTCCGCAGACCCCGTCCCACCTCCTGGGAGCGCTGAGCAGTCTTGGCCGCCGGGCCACCGCCCGCTTCCATCAGAGAACCTCATCTTTCCAGCCTTCCCCTTCCCCGAAAGACCCCTCCTCGGCTGCTTTCCGGAGAAAATAAGGGCCCAGGACGAGACAATGAGGAAAACACCTGACTCCGCCCAGGCTCCCATGGTTTTACAGTCCTGGAAACGGAGCCTGGAGAGGCAACTTGCGTCACCAGAGGTCACACAGCTATTCTGCGGCCAAGCCAGGCGGGCTGAGCGTGCTCCATCCGGGCTTCCTGTGTGTGACGCACCCAGCCCGAGAGTGGACAAGCAGGGAGGATGGGCTTGGGACCACCGGGTGACCCTGTGCCCTCCAGGACCTGCGGGGGCTCGCCCGGCCTCCCCCACTGACACAGAGCCAACCCCACGGGCAGCTGGCGGCTGGCTTCCTGGCCAAGCTCGCCCTGCCACTGCAGGACACAAAGCCCAGCGTGTCTCAGGGCCGCAGGCCGGTGCCACGCAGCAGGGTTTACGATTTTCCTGGAGCCTCTCGGCTGGGCTGCGCCCGAGGCTGAGCCAGAAAAAGAAAATTCCCGGGTGATGTAAATGCAGTCAGGACGGCTTCGAGGGGTGCGCACTCTTCCTGCCTTGGAAAGGGCGGGTACGGGAACCCCAGCCATCCTCCCTCCAAGAGGGAGAGAAAACCACCCTAAAGCCACCCCTGCCTCCCGCTCCTGCCTCATCTCGGTGCCCAAAAACAGCCCGGCGTGGAGCACCCCTCAGGGGTCAGACAGGCGGACATTGGCCCAGTTATTTTATTTGCAGATGAAGTTATTTCAGTGGAGCCAGGCTTGCCAGGGCCGAAGCGATGAGATCAGGCCAGCTCTCGCTGCTAGATGTCCTATGAGGGGCTGAGCGGCAGGCCGGAGGACTGGCCCGGCACACACTCAGGGCTCTGGGCTGGGGCCAGAGAAAGAGCTAGGGTCACGGGCAGGCCTGGGGCCAGGTGACAGCAGCCCCTCCCCAGTCTTCGAAGGCTCCTTGGGGCCCACCAGGGGGCTTTCTGAAGGTGGTGGCCACAGCCGTGGCCCCAGGCAGCCAGACAAGCATCTGGCATCTTGCTCCTCCCGGAGGTGCAGCCTTGGCTCCAGGGGGCACAGGTGTTGGACTTGGTGCCCATCCTAGGCTGGCCCTCTGCGGTGGCCAACGTTGGCAACACGCAGCCGGGGTGACCATGAGGCTGGAGGCCCAGGATAGGCTGTGTCCGTGCTGCCGGGGGCTCTGTGACCTAAGGACTGTTCTCCAGGGCGGCAATGTAAACAGGACCCTACTGACCTCCATGCTACTTGATCTGGAGGCTTGATGCTGCAGAGCAACGGCAGGAGCTGATTCTGCCTCTCTCTCCTGCACGGAGCCTCTCATGGGCAGCCATAGGCAGCATAATCACCATGGTAGGAAATGTTAAACTCTACGAGTGCCTGCCACTTGCCAACCAAATTTAAGTGATTTGTATGCATTATCTCAACCACACCCATCTAGGATTTTTTCCCCTTTTTCTTTTACTGTGGTAGAACATGGATAACATGAAGTTTGCGTTTAACCATTTTTAAGTCAGAAGTCTTCTCATCTTGCAAAACTCTCTCTGTGTTTAACAACTTCCTATTCCCCCTCTTTCCGGCCCAGTGGTGACCACCGTTCTGTTTTCTGTCTCTGTGAATTTGCCTACCTCAGATAAGCGGAAGTGACTGGTTTATTACCACCGCGTAACATCCTCAAGGTTCATTCACGTTATAGTATGTGTCGGAACTTCCTTCCTTTTGATGGCTGAGTAATACTCCATTGTCTGAACAGACCACATTTGATGGATGTGTTTATTTGGCAGAGGGCACCTGGCCTGCGTCCACCTTTGGGCTCCCACTCTAAGTCGGGCCGCAGTTAATGTTTGTGCACAGAGTCTTGCATGGATTTATCTGTTTTTCCTTTTGTGGCCTGTATACAGCCAGAGAGCATTGCCAAGGCCCAAGTCATGGCAGTTTCCCTGCTCTTCCTCTGTGAGTCCTCTGGTCCGGTTCTCACATTCAGTGCTTATGCTGGCACTGTAGTCCGCTTGCATTAGGTGAGAGGTGGGGATTCCACCTGTCTCTACATGTCACGCCACGCCCAGTGGGTGCCAGGCCGTCCTCTAACCGCGCATCCCCGGGCCCTGGGCAGCGCTCACTGGGCCACGCGTGTGTGGGCTTTGCTGTCTCCTCTGTCTCTGTCTTTCCGTCGTCACTATGCGCTGTAACTGCTGCAGGGTGCTCTGGGGTCAGGGGTGGAGTCCCAGCGTCCCAGCTCTCCTTCCACAGCGCAGACTCATTTTGTCCCACTGTAGAGATGAGACAACAGAGGCAGTTTCCTGGCACGATACGGCCCACGGGCTCACCAGCCTTGGCTCCCTGGGTCCCCCTCGCTGGTGCCGCACGGCCACCCAGAGACAGGGG